GCTATCGATGACGTTTGAAATAAACATTGTAGAAGACAAACGTGAACATATATTCGTTTATATAACGGCAACCCTAAAGTTTCTTACTCATTCTTCTCAACAGAATCTGTCATACGAATGAGCGGTAGAGTTTAAATGTGACGATTTGAAATGTAATTTGCTTACCTATAAAACAAAGTATCTTCAACGGTGAAAACTTACCAGGTGAAGCCTGAAAACCAGTAAATTGCTAAGGCTTTTACCTTTTTTCGACACAGTTTCACGGCTCAAGTGGCTTTGGTAACATTGAAAGTGTTGAATCAAACACTTAGGATAAAATATGTAATAAAAATGAGGACATACACTGATACGGTGTGAAAACACGATTCATAAAAATTTTCGCGATATAAAACAACACAAACTTACATAGGAAATGAAACTATTTTTCCGGATTTAAATCGCGTATATTTGTTTTTTCAAACAAACCGACGTTTCGGGCCCTTTACAGGTCCCATGGTCACGGTTGACTGAGGTGGTACAGTCTTCAACCAGTTATGTCTAATATTGATGCAAACCACCCTATTTTTCCACTATAGTTACAATAGTTATTAATTAAATACCTTATTTTTAATTTTACAAAGAAAACATTCCAATTTACGCTACATTAAGTTTTACAAATTATTTTATTGAATGAATTTTTATTAAGTTTAATTTATTATTAAGTATTAATAGAAATTAGAGTAAACTAAAACATATTAATTAGTACTGCAGTCTTATGTCTGTTTGGGATTTTTCATTAGAGGAAATACTGGATCCCAAACTGGTGGTACGGAGAAACCATCTTCCCTGTTGAAATTAGGATGTTTTTTAATTTCAATGGCCTCTCGCAGCATCCTGGGTAGATAACGGACTTCTTTTGCAAGGACCTGGGGTTTGTCAAACTTCATTGAATATGTAGGTTTATCCATGACGTGCTCGCAGACTGCAGACTTGTCGGTTTGTTTGAAAAAACAAATATACGCGATTTAAATCCGGAAAAATAGTTTCATTTCCTATGTGTAACAATCGCGAAAACCTAAGAACTCGATAACACAAACTTACGTCAAAATTTTACAAGAAATCCGCTGTATTTCATAGGTACTTACAGTACACATGCCAATGTTTTTTTTATATCAACTGAACTAAATAGAAAATGTATATATAGACTATGTACTATATACATTTTTGAAATGGCTTTAGTTTAGTATATAAAAATAAATTTTAAAATAAAGCCGATGTCCCTGTCTCAAGCAAAATTTTCATTCGAGCTAAGGTAGTATCGACGATTTTAAATGTTATATTGTTTATATTAAAGAATTACCTTTATTTTTATTTATACATATGAATTCGAACTTCAATTTCAATATATCTCTAAATGACAACAGACAAGAAATAAAAGAAACCTGGTAATACCTTCGGAAAAACAGTTTCAAGAGGATCAGCAATGTGATTCCAATTAGAGGCGTTGAGGACCCACGGGCCGAGAGAGAGAAACTGCCCGTTAAGAAATTTGTTGATAAGCCAGATCTGTAGAATCACGTGCAGCAGGTTGACCACCTCCATCGCCACCAGCCATGTTGACCACGCACGACTTATACGCAATCTGTGAAGAGGTTACAACTATTGATAAGAGATTTTAATTAGCGTTCTTATGCAATTCGTAAAGTGACTTTCAAGTAATCAGAGTATTATATTTTGCAAATGCGTGAGGTGTAACTGAACACCACAATCACAATCCAGAATTCACACAAATTTGTGTCAAAGTGTATTCCATAGCATGTAAGATTATTTGAAAAGAGCAATCCCTAGAGTTTCTTGCTCGTTCTTCTCAGGTAAATCAGCGTAGTGAACGAGCAGTAACTTAAATATGACGTTATCAAGCATTGACTTACAATTATATGGACGTCGGGTCCGCGCTAAAAAGTGTCCGAACTTATAAGGCGTTAAAATCGTATACAGAGCGTCATTCACGCTCTAGTCTTCGTTTGTTCGACTGACAGCGAAGCAAGCAAAATTAGACAGTACTGCGATGACATTACAATTTAAATTCAACGTTTTAGCTTTTTCATATTCCTTGACATGTCACTACGTTTAAATAGGTTGACTTGGGACATTTTTTTCGTGGTTTTTGTATTAGACCCGTCGTCCATTTATTTGTAAGTCAATGGTTCACACCATTATTTCTAAAAGGTTTAAATAAATTATTATTATTATTATTTATGCTACGGAATACACTTTGAATAATATTTTTGTGGAGTCGTCTTTTCATACATGTTTATCTAACAAGTAAATTTCAATTTTTAACCGACTTCAAAAAAGGAGGAGGTACTCAATTCGATAGTGTTTTTCTTTTGTAGTTTCTGTTGTAAGTCCGCCATTTGTGAACCGATTTTGATGATTCTTTTTTTGTTGGAAAGAGGGTACCTCAAAAGTGATCCCATTTAATTTTGAAGAAAATATTCGACCTCTAAGGTTGGTAAACTAGAGGATGAATGACTTTTGAGGTCGGTTTTTTAGTACTCTGTACTGAGGTTAGGTTATATAGTAAAACTTTTCAATTAAAATACTTTTAATGTAAATGTTGAACTTAGGAAATTATAATTTTAATATATGCTCCGAAATCTTATTGTAAAATTTATGCAGTTCCCCATAAAAGAATCGTCTACTGTATCTTTAAAGCCTTGAACATTTTGATGTACATATGGTAACGATTAGAATTTACTGTTGTCGTATTTACTTAGAGTTGGAGCATTCTCTTGGGACTGTTTTATATCTTGTATAATAGCGTCCTTAATATCAAAAGATAGCAAACAAGCTATGTGTCTCAGATACCTTATGGGTCAATGTAAACTATGCTCAAAAAGTTTGAAATTCCTAACAAACTTATTGATGTCAAAACAAACTATAGCATCACTATGACGTAAAATTGCAAATGTATGAATTTATATCACAGACCACATAAATACTAATTATGAGTAGCGCTTAGGTTAGAGCGACACGCTTATCCATAGCAGTTACAGTGCCACTCACAGCTTTAAATATAAAAGATCTGAGCGGCGCTGCCACTGCTCCCATCAACCTGAGACGTACATGGACAAGTCCAAAGATTCTACATGTTCTTGCAATAGTCGTATGTTAGAAATAACTATTAAAACTTTTGACTGTCTCTCGAGAACAACACAATTACAATAAGTCTTGGAATTGCAGAGTAATACGGGAAGGGGGAACAATCTGTATAAGAACATCTAACCTTGCGGTGTCACAGCTGACTGCGGTGACCACGGGACCTGTAAAGTTCCCGAAGAGCTCGTTTAATAAAAAAAAAAAAAAACAAATTAGCGATTTAGATGCGAAAAAACAAGTTTTATTTCAAAAGTCGCGAGAACTTAAGACTCGATGGTTTTGAGTCTGCCTTTTGCACGTAGTATTTGATTCTCAAAACATTCTTTACTTACTTACTTCGCTGGCTCAGCGACCCGAAACGCATCTTGGTCTCCGACCCTAAGACTCCGACCATTCGAATATTTGAAGCTCACACAGGTCTTTGTGGACTTGGTCGATCCAGCGATATTTAGGACGTCCAACCGGCCTTCTGCCAGTCGGTTGCCCCAGATATGCTCTCTTGACAGCACGATCCTCACGCATCCTCTCGACGTGGCCAAGCCAGCGAAGTAGAGCTGATTTGATCTCTCCCATAATGTTAGCCTCTTTAAAAAAATACTTTACCTGAGAATAATGTCCGTCCTGATATTAGTAAGTGTTTTTTGTAGTGAACTTTTTGATGGCACCGTTTTTCCGTTAACCGTCATATCTTCGTCTTCGATTGCCAATCTGGCAAACTGCAGGCCGTCCACTAGGGCCTTTATCCGGCCACCTGAGACAGAAAGCTCTTGTTATGATACCCATAATAATAGCCGTATAACTGCAATGTTCGTAAAAAAATATCCTTCCATATTGGAGTCCCTTAAAACTGACTGACGAACAAGTCGTGCACCTGACGGTAGGCTACACGCCTATAACAATTGCAGTGCCACTCAGAATATTGACATTAATGCTTGGTGGCAGAAATAGGTAGGAAACTATCACCGATGGTTAGAAAAGAAGCTCAAGCAGCAGAAGGTTGCCTATTTGGGTCATGTAGTGCGACATGACAGATATCATCTATTGCACACCATAATAATGGGCAAAGTAGCTGGGAAGCGGAAGGTTCAGTTAAGCAGATCGGCACCAAAACCGTGGAACAACCGTTCAGGCTAGCTCTGGACAAAGAAAGATATAGCAAAACTGACTGCCGAACTTCAACAATGGAGAGGCACTTGAAGTAGAAGAAGATATCAAACTGATAAGAACTGTCAAAACAAGAAAGAGAACCTTTTTGAAAATTTGTTACATGTTGAACCACGAAAATATAAACAGAAAATACTAAAAGCAGGACTTGTTGAATCACAAAACCAGATAATCTCGCATTCCATCATCAATTTACCAAACACTGTTTAGATACACGACGCTTCATCTAATAAAGTCGGTTAATCTGATAAGATATGTTAGGAAAACATGGGGATAGCAGGCGACTGAGCTCTATCTAAGGTCGTTTCACTTTAACTTAGTTTACTTTATAATTCGAACAATGGAAGTACCTTAAGCCTCGATTTCTATCGGAACCGCTGCCAACAAATCTCACTCATTCGTAATTTGAAACACTTTGAAATCTTGATAATGATTGATCGTAGTTTTCTAATTTAAAAAGAAAAACAAATTCTGTAATATCGTTGACAGTTCAATTACCTATTATTACAAGATTATTACAAGTTGCGACATTTTGAATTTTAAATTTTAATCACTTTGCTGCTATCTACTGGTTAATAGCTGAACGCGCTGAGCGAGCGTACAAAGGAGCGAGAAGCGAAGGACGATGATACAAATTTTAAAAGTGTAGATAGTAACAACAACAACAAAAATTTAAAAATTTATCTTTGGTAAATTTATTATGTTTATGGCGTTAGTAATACGGCCTAACGAGTCCTGAGAGTTTGATCTTCTTTTTTTTAAATTTCTAAAAGCATGTTCCACTTCTGTTTCTAATATTTCTAAATAATTTTCAGGAGCTCTTATAATCTTATTTTGGGTTCTTTTGTCGTCGAAATGTCTGTCTTGTTTCTTTGCTGAAATTTCTATTTCTTCACATTTTTCAAATAACCCCTGTCCCTTTGCCTTTTGAATTTTGATTTTATTTTATTTTTCATTTTATTTTTTGATGGAAAGTGACGATGAGGTCGAAGATGGCGACACCATGAAAACCGGTGTGTGAGCCACTTGACCAAGGACGTCGTCACAAAACGTCGCAATTGATTGATGCCTACCTTCCTTGTTTTTCCAAATATAATGAGGCGTGTAAAAGCATAGGGATTGTAGAAATAGGACGAACGGCACCCACTGGTAATAAGTATGGACGAGAGTCTCATCGGAATCTAATATCGGACCCACCCCCGGGTGGGGTAGCGCTCCACGCTGAAGGAGAGTCTCGTTGTAGTGTCTGACCTGAGACATAAAATAGACATTTATTATTAAAAGTTAGATATAAATATAAGAATAGTTGTACGGCATTCCGGATAGAGCAAGTATTTAAATATTACAAAATTTACAAATAACATAATTTTTGATACAAAGATGTAACACTATTTTTTTTTGTAAGAATAATAACATCATGATATTCAATAAACTTAAATGTTACAAATATTTAAGCGACATCCCTAGTCAGCCGCTGGTAGCTGTAAAGGTACCTGAATGAAGAAAAACTTTCATAGATGTCTCACAGATGGCGCTACGATGAAAAGTGGCAAAAACCAAAACCAAAGAACTGCAACAAGCAGCATACAAAAGTTCGTACGGTCCGGTGATACATTCTGAGGCTTAGATGGGACAGCGCCGCGCTGGTTCAACTCCACCCGGATTGAAGGACTTTTTCTTAGTATACGACCTTTGTATTAATAATTATAACAAACTAGTAGAGTAATTTCACAAAAAAATTAATAACATGGTAGGAAAATATCGTGATATTCGATAAACTTATTATAACATTTACTAATAAAATACTCACGATTGTGAACGTAGCCATAAAGAAGCAATAAGTTTGTAGAACATTAGGTGGCACACCCTCGTCCGATATACATCTAATATGTTCCCCGAAAAACTCTCTTGCACAGACCAAGATCACGCAGGCCAGTAGCAGCGTCACCGTTGCTTTATAGTGTAGTTGGAATACGAAATTCTCGATCTTTGGTTTGTTGTACTGAAGTCTCAAACGCGGCACTAAAGTGTTTACCGTTGCTGCTAACATTTTGGTGTTGGTGCATAAGAATTGCGGCGATAGGTCCTACACTATATCCTGTAAAGCAATTGTCGTTGTTAGTTTCTTTCCGAGTCTTACAATACAGTACAATGAGACAGCCCGTGTCCTTGTTCGCACCTAAATATACCAAGACTTTTAATTTATAATACATATCAGTTTTATTAGACCTTTTATATTCTGTAAAGCATTGTTGTTGTTAGTTTCTTTCTAGGTCGTACAATATAGCACAATGAGACAGTCCTTGTTATTCATTGTTCGTGCCAAAATGTACCAATGCTATCTCTCTTATAATATTAATTTTATTATCACATTCTTGTCGTCTGCAGAGATAACAAACGGGCTGATCTGTATGTCATTTTATATCTCATGATTTATGTTACGATTTGCCAGATCGGGAAATAACGAACGTCACTTCTGGGGCTGGTCCGCTTTGTTATTTATTATAATCTATTACAATGTATTTTTAATTAAAACACATTATAACAAAACAAAATGAAGTAATGACAAAAATAAAAAAGAGATTAAAGGGTGCTGCAACAGCAAATGCAGAAGGTACTAACAGGTTTTAGTTCGTAGGTCACTGGGAACTCATCCGAATATCCGAACAATTGAAACGCAAAAGAAAAGAAAAACAATGGTTATTCGACAACTTTGATAAAAACTTGGAGACAATTTTGAAATGTTTTTAAAGGTACCTATAATGGCGACATCCTACTAGACGGTATTTCATTCTCACTAGAGGTTTGCCTCTAAAAAATCGGAAGAGCAGTCCAACCTCAAAACGCGTATCGTGATGCTGTTCACGAATTTTCCTCGAGAAACTAAATTGTTATCACGACACTCATCATTAACATCATCTTCCGGGTGTCAAGATACTGAGTCCAGTGGCATCAGTCACAGCAATGGCAAAAGAACAGATTGTATGATCTAACGTTCGAATTATAGGACTACATACTAATTTAGTTTTTGCAACTGTGCTAGAAGCAATTATTGTCCTTAACATTGTTTTATTTAGATTATCATTTCAACTCGTTGTGTTTATGTATATTCTTTATCATCATTATCATAGATTTGCTAAAGGAGATAGGGGCATAGAGGTGGCTACTTACTGGGCCAAAGAAATATAATACCGGTTTTGTGTTTTATTGGTTATTGACATTGACTTGACAAGAAGAGTAAAGTTGCCTGCTTATCGATATTTTACAGGATATATCACGGAGAGTGTGCTATGGAATTACACGATTTAATTCCGCTTTCCCCTTTCCATCATCGGACTAGACGTTGGCTTGGATTCCACCCCTACGTTGTAGATATTCCAAAGATTCACACGAAGCGTTACGCTTGCACATTTATATGGCGAACGGTTATGGAGTGGAATTCTCTGCCTGCAGACTTGTTCCTGAACGTTAGAACTTGGACCTTTTCAAGGCGAGAGTGAATAGGCATTATTTGGGTGTGCATGCTATATCGGCGACTTCATCGTCACTTTCCATCAGGTGAGATGGAGGTCAAATGCAAACTTACATTTATATAAAAAAAGAAGAAGATATATCACATCATGTCTCTTTCTTGGTGGAATAAGGTCACGTCTTTAAAATGGCAAGAGAGGCTCTACGAACTACTAAAATTTTTCAGTGAGAGAATTATTTAGACAGATTATATGATTTAGATTAATTATATTTTACTTATTTACTGTCTCCTCAAATCACTATTTTTCTTATTATGCTATTGTATTGGTGTATATCAGTTTCGCATAATGTATAATCAAAATGACGGCAATTATATATTTTCCCACGCCATTGGAAGGTTTGCTGATACTTATAGCACAGGTTTCCTTTTTTTTAAATACCAGCGGTCAATGTACTGATTGTTCGATACTTATTTACTCACTATGTATGTTGTATTATTATTATGGTAAATAAAAAAAATATTATTTAATAATTCATCATGATTGAAACACAGACACTGACACAAAGACATAGGGAAAGATTAGAAGTTTTTTGCGATGTGGTGCTGGAGGAGAATGAAGGGCATAAGTTAGATGGAAAAGAAAACCAATAAGTGTTGATAATGGTAAACGCGAAAAGAACGATCCTGAATAGTATAGAGAATAGATGAAAATGATTGGACATTTGATACGACAACTTCTCTAGAAGCATATTGGAGGGGAAAAATCGAAGGAAAGAAGGGAAGAGAAGAAGAGGGGAAGAGGCGCAGCTACATAGACAAATAAAAGAAAAGGCTGGTCGTATCGTGTTGTATAAGGAGGTTAAGGCGCAGGCTTATAGGAGAGATTATTGGAAGATGCTCCACCGACAAGAGTATAACTCTTTTACTGTTATTAGCTGAATGAGCTGAATTGTTTGACATTTGACTAACAGTTCAGTATAAGTTTAATATGAGTTGTCTGATTGGGTGGGAGCCTAGTGAGCTGTAATACCTGGTACGGACTCATGTCACACAAATCGTTTGAGAAATAAATCTGTATTATTATATTATTTATTATTATACTGAACGAAATTAGTCGACGTTTTTTACGCTCAAAAAGAAGAGTTATAAAATTTCACATGTACATGTAATTTGTTTCGTGTAGCTCGTATTATTTTTATGATCTTTATGTGTTAAAAGCACTTTGATATTACACATTCATCGGTCTAGTGCCGCCCGCATCCATCTACTGTAATCCTACACCACATTAGCTTTAATATAGTCGGCACTCCACAACAATTTGTGAACCAGCGTGGAACAGGCTTAAAATATTAATAACTATCAATAACTTCGATACTTTTTGTATTATTTTATATTATTTAAGTCACTTCCAAATAACAACACAAATTGACGTCGTCAACACCACACCACAACACCACAATATATTAGAAACATCAAATTAAATAAACATAGTCACTGTTAAATATTTCGTTAATTATCACCTGATAATATTACACTTCTTTTCATGGACGTCTGGTTCTTGCCTTGGCTAGCTAGTGATTACATTAACACCAAAAGTACATGATAAGATTCCACGATAGCTAACACTTTACTACACGTAAATAATTTAATAATAACGCCATGACCGAAGATGACTTTACATATGCAGCATCCGAAATAAAGCTTTTACAAGTTTTCTTTTAATTATTAATACAAAGAAAAACATAAAAAAAATTTTCAAGTCAAAGTCAAGGTCAAATAATCTTTATTTCATACATTTGAAATCGTCATATTGATCAAACTCTACAGCTCATTCGTAATTTAGATTCACCTGAGAAAAATGAGGAAGAAACTCTAGAGGTCTAGAGGTTGCTCTTCGTAAATACACATTTGAATACATTTATCATTACAATACATTTTAATTTAAACATCTTAGATCGAGATTACCTTCAAGAGCTAAACGGGTCACTACCAGGGATTTTTGTCATCCAAGTATGCAGAAGTACCCATTAGTACAAAGTTTTTGTGTTACTATAGTTTTAAGCCTCGTAAATGGAAAAATTTGAATATCACCTGCCACTCATCCGTAGAACAACGATCTATGTGCAAGACTACTTGTTCTCAGGACATAATACATTTCGTTCGTCTTCTTCGCCGTGGACGTCAGATCGACCGTTGATCGATTTTATATTTCCGTAACAAAATAAAATATATAAATTCTCAAAACACCTTTACATAAGCTTTAGTTTGAATAACGAAATTATTCTCGTTACGTACTTATTCTCTTTTCGCTGTATAATAACATCCGACTTTGTTCTTCGGATGGACCGACCTGGAATCCTGTTACAGAAGCGTACATTGCCCGATAAATGAGTTTGAGATTTTATAAAGACGAATGTCAAAAACAGCTAGTTTATTTTTATACTTCCTGTCACTATTTTTCATAAAAAATTTAATATTTTCCTTGAAATAAATAACATTTTCATAAATGTACTGCGACGTTAGTGTAAGAATATTAATCTCTTGAAACTTATCTCTCAAAGATACTCTGGGGCCCAGATTGTACATTGCCCCAACCGCACGTTTCTGCATGACAAAGATTCTATTATTATCGGCGGCATTACTGTGATTCAGCATACCGTGCCAGTCGCCCTCGCGTTTTTTCAAAGTTTTCTTCTTCCTGTATATAAAATAGCAAAACTCTTTAATACATTCTCACCTGATGCCATGCGTTTGTCTTAAAAATGCCCATTCACACTAACCTAAATTATAGTTTTCAGGACACACAGATACCAATAGTATTCATTTCTTGGCTGTAAGCATTAGGAAAGGGAATACTGCATACTGCATACTTGGATGACAATGGAGGTAATCTCGATCTAAGATGTTTAAATTAAAATGTATTGTAATGATAAATGTATTCAAATGTGTATTTACGAAGAGCAACCTCTAGACCTCTAGAGTTTCTTCCTCATTTTTTCTCAGGTGAATCTAAATTACGAATGAGCTGTAGAGTACCCTTGACACATGTGGTCATATAAAACAAATTATGTGCATGCGTAATTTTATAACTCTCCGATACAATCTAAAATGGCTTTGGTAGATTCCGCATAGTAGTGAAAGGTTGAATCAATCACTTTGTGAAAAATATATAGTACAATTGAGGTGATCATTGACTTACAAATAAATGGACGACGGGTCTAATACAAAAACCACGAAAAAAATGTCCCAAGTCAACCTATTCGAAATTTAAATTGTTATGTCATCGCAGTATCGCGCTGTCCGTAGAACAAATGAAGACTAAAGCGGAGTGTCGCGCTCTGTATACGATTTTAGCGCCTTACAAGTGCGGACACTTTTTAGCGCGGACCCGACGTCCATATAATTGTAAGTCAATGGAGGTGATACACTGATTACTATTCGGTGTGAAAACACAATTCCTAAAAATATTTACGATACAAAAAAAAACACAAATTTACCTCGAAATTTTACAAAAAAAAAACCCTGCATTCTATGGGTATTTTACTATCCGCGCACGCGATGCGCTCCTCCTACCGCAAAATGGCGGCTATTTGGTTTCGCAAAATAGAAAAGGATTCAGTTTAAATACAAGTTTTTATAAATAAAAATTAATTATTTTTCTGCATTGCTAAATAAATACCCTCCGTACTACCAACAAAAACATCTCAAATAAAATGCAGTAATACACCGCAAATCCTGCACTTAAAAAGCGCTAATGAAATTTTTGGTGTACTTGGCTAAATATGACAATATTCCGTTTGAGTGGTTCTAACGTTTACCATGAAATTACTCCTTAAAGTATAGTTCATAAACATTTATATTCAGGGTAAACTTAAAAAACGCTACTTACGGTATGTTTTCAATAAATAAACACCGAAATCACCAGCCCAAACAATAACACACACGATTGTCGTGACGTATTTTTGAAGTTGTTTATTTTTTTTAAATGACAGACCCAGGCTGTAAAAA